GGTAAGGGTTTTCACCTGTCGCATCTCTGTAATTTGCCACTTCTGACCACAATTTTAGGGTGTTAGATGCATGGACGGGCTGACATCAAGTGATCAGGAAATAGACGTGTCCCTCCTTCTGTACCACGACCCGTTCAAATGTATTAAACTTTTCTTATTATTTATTGTCCCCGTAACCCCGTTGCTATATATTATGGCTCGAAATTAGGAAAACTGAGTTTACATGGACAGTCCAAAAGTATCCAGAAAGTCGCTAGATTTCTGTGGCTATCTCTAGATTTGAGACAAGTCGCAAATCGCTCTAAAATGTCGCTAGAAAAAAACAAAAAACTCTAGATCTAGCTACAAAGTCGCTAAGTTGGCAACTCTGGTTTTTGGGCGTGAAGCGATGAACAGTACAACACTGTCTACTGTCCCCCCCCCCCCCTAAAGGCTGGCTAACATACACTAATGGAAAATATATGTCCCAGTTATGCCTCGCCGGGTGTCTTATCTCTAGTAAAACAAACTTTGGAGTTGGTTGAGTGGGTAAACCTAACGCAACCCATGACACCTTGCAAGGAATGTAATATGTTTTACTTAGGCCAGACAGGTAAAGATCTTGTAACTAGACTTAAACAACATAAATAAAGTGTTAGGACAGGCCAGGAATCTAATGCTCTGTTTGTTCATTTGAGGGATAATAAGCATTGCATTGACTGGGATAATGCCTCCTCAATATTACCTTGTAATTCAATTGACAGTAGGAACATTATAGAATCCAGTCTCATTAAACATACCGAATCCGTCAACATGAATTTGAGTAATGGTATGTACAAACTGGATTATTTCGTAATTAAGAAGATTTGTAACCAGGTGAGAAGGTTGGGCCATCTTACCCTCTGACCTGACTACCGACTGCTGTGGTGCTTATGAAGATTAGTAGGGTCACTGCCTAGTGACTGGACCATTGTGGACACTCACTGTCCCCTAGGGACTTGATCTCACTCTCCTCTACTGTATATATATGCCTTGTTATGTATTTCTCCTTAGTCTGTACTCACCCCTGAAGATGTGAATTACACGAAAGCGCTTGGGAACTTCGTGTTTTCTTGTTTCCTTTTGGTTATCAGCATATACCTGGATCACGCGCACCTCCATTTAGGTCTCGAAATTTTCATCCGGAAGTAATTTTTAAAAATAATCAAAAGTCCGGAATTTCAGCTTCCACCATTTTCTCCACGGACAAAAAAACAACACCCTGCAAAATACAGTGTACTTAGCAAATGCTGCAGCTTCTGAGAATGTGGGTGGAGCGGGTTTATTACTAAGAGCAGAGACGTTACCGAGAACAAATTCTGGCTTGAATGTCATGTACACTAATACTGACACGTTCCTTGATAAGAGGGAGGAGTTTGAAACACTACTAAGAGTACACCAACCAGATATTGTAGGAGTTGTAGAACTGTTGTACAAGAACAGGAGAATCGACCCAGAGGAATGTGAGTTCAGTATTGCTGGATATGACTCATTTACGAACCTAACTCAAGAATCCTGCAGGAGGGGTGTGGTTATCTACGCTAGGCAAGACCTTAGAGCCAGCCAGGCGAGGGTACAGGGAGAGGATGTTTTTGAAGAGTCCAAGTGGTGTAAAATTAAATTAAAGGGAGGGGACTTACTTATCGTCGGGTGTATCTACAGATCCCCGAACTGTGGCCCACTAAATCAAAGGAACTTAAGAACCTTAATAAACAATGCGGCGATGCTCAACCCCAGCCACCTCCTTATCATGGGGGACTTTAACTATGGCGACATCGACTGGAGAAACGAGTCAACCCCGAATGACTTGAATAATCCTGCTACTTTTTTTGTAGAAACTCTGAGAGATAATTTTCTGTTCCAACATGTGAGAGACCCGACACATTACAGAGGGGAGCAAACACCCAAGCCACTTGACCTCATCATAACAAACGAGGAGGGTATGGTGGCCAAACTGGAACACCTTGCCCCAGTTGGCATCAGTCACCATACAGTGTTGTCATTCAGATTTAACTGTTACCTAGTTCAAGATAAGGCCAGGCCAAGGTGCAAATATTACAAGGGAAATTACAATGGGATGAGGGAAGAGATGAGGGGTATCAACTGGCCTGACTTATTAAGGTACAAGAACGCAGACACTACGCTGAATATCATAACTAGTAAAATGACCCATTTGATCGATAAATATATACCCAAGACCAAACCCAGTGCTTCTAGGAATACGAGGGGATCCCTACACATGAACCATGCGGCGGTCGACAAAATTAAGAAGAAAACCCAGAAATTCAAGACGTGGGTTGGGTCAAACGATGAGCAAGACAGGAGGATGTATGCAAGAGCCAGAAACCAAGCAAAGATAGAGTGTAGGAGGGCTGAAAAGGAGTTCCAAAGGCTGGTTGCACGCGAGGTCAAGTCAAACCCAAAGGCGTTTTACCGCTATGCAAAGTCGAAATTGAAAACGCGAGTAGGAGTATCAGACCTGAGGCTTGAAGATGGTAGTTACGCAGATTCTGACCAGGATAAAGCTGAGGCATTGAACAGCTTCTTTTCCTCAGTGTTCACAAGAGAGGATGCAACTAACCTTCCTGCGTTTGAGGACAGACGGTTCGACACAGCACTGACCCACATTGTGTTCACAGAAGAGGGTATTAGAAATAAACTGTCCAGGCTAAAGGTCCATAAGAGTCCTGGACCTGACATGGTGCATCCTAGAGTGCTAAGGGAGCTGTGCAACGAGCTTGCAGAGCCCCTGAAGATTCTGTTTTGTAAATGCCTGGATGAACAAATGGTCCCCAGTGAATGGAAAGTGGCTTATGTGAGTCCTATCTTCAAGAAGGGCGATAGGCACTCCACGAACAACTATAGACCGGTGAGCCTGACCAGCATAATATGTAAAGTACTTGAGAGTATTATCAGAGATGCAGCGATGGAACATCTACTACGAAACAACCTTGTAAAAGATTGCCAACACGGTTTTATGCCGGGGCGCTCTTGCTTGACACAATTGCTCAAGGTATTGGATATTTGGACCCATATTCTAGAACGGGGTGGTAATATCGACAATATTTACCTAGATTTTGCCAAGGCTTTCGACAGTGTACCCCACGAAAGGCTGAAAATCAAACTGGAAGGGTACGGAATTCGGGGAAATGTCCTAGCGTGGATAGAAGACTTTCTACATGACCGCAAGCAATGTGTGGTGATTAATGGCACGAAATCGTCATCTGTACCTGTAACAAGTGGGGTACCGCAGGGTAGTGTATTGGGCCCGCTGTTGTTTGTTTGTTTCATAAATGATATGCCTGACGTTGTACACTCCTCCATACAAATGTTTGCCGATGACGCCAAGTTATTTCGGGAAATTAAGAACCAAGCGGACTGTGAAGAGCTGCAGAAGGACCTCTGTGGGCTCCAGGAATGGTCGAAGGAATGGCTGCTGAGATTCAATGTCACGAAGTGTAAGAGGATGCACCTGGGGCGTACCAACGGTAAGGAGGCGTACCATATGTCCCAACGGGATGAAGAAAATGTACTAGTTGAGACTGTGTGTGAGAAGGACCTAGGTGTGTATGTTGACAATGAGCTGAAGTTCTCGGGCCATTGTGAGAAGAAGGTAAATCAGGCAAATAAATTATTGGGTCTTATAAGAAGGTCGTTCAGATATCTAGACGGTCCGTCCCTCGTGACGATCTTCAGGAGTGAAGTGCTTCCCCATCTGGAGTACTGTCACCCCATCTGGTCCCCGAGATATGCTAGGGACTGTCAGTTGGTTGAAAATGTTCAAAGGAGGGCCACCAAACTGGTGCCTGCACTTCGGCATCTCAGCTACCCTGAGAGATTGGAGCGCCTGAACTTGCCTAGCTTATACTACAGACGGGCAAGGGGGGACCTAGTTGAGGTTTATAAGCATCTCAGGGGGCACTACTCAGTTGAGTGTCCTTACTTGGAGCTGGCGGACGCTCGCCCCACAAGGGGTCACAGCTCAAGATTGAAGAAGCCGCAAGTCCAGAAAACCGTGAGGGCAAACTTTTTCGGAGTGAGGGTTGTAAACTCTTGGAACAATCTACCAGAGAGTGTTGTGACGGCACCGAGTGTGAGCTCTTTCAAGAAAGACTTGACCAACACTGGAGCGGGTTCAGGTACATTCAGGAGCCGGTGCATGCCCAGTATTTGCCAACAGTGCGTGACAGAGACGTGACCGATCGCCCGGGCGGCTAGCGAGCCGACCTTTTGGTGAAGAATATAAAGGAAAAGAGACGTGACCGATCGCCCAAGCGGCTAACAAGCCGATCAGTGGCGAAGAGGATGAAAGTGAAAATGACGAGAGAGAGAGACTGTGAGAGAGGGGAGGTGGAAACCGTAGAGATCTCGTTCAGTTTTCGTCAGGTGATAAGTCACGTGTACGCGTGTACGGTGTTGTCAACTTAGCTGCTAGCAGTGTTTGGGGTAACCTGTAGTGCCATGTACTGCTTTTCCTTGTTCTTCAGCCACGCGCATTATTAAATTTTTTTGTATTTAGTGCTATTACAGCCATAAATGAAATGTTGAAAGTATACTGTATTTTTCTTATGGCTTTTTCACACTGTAGCATTTGTTTTTCTTGTCCTGCATTTAAGGCATTTTAGCAATTTTCAACCATAATCTTGATGTGATGGGCACATCAAGTCACACACACAGTGGGGGAAGAAGACTGCAGCTAAGGGAATGAAGATATTCAGCCTTAAGCAAAGGTAATTTTTTTTTATTTTTAAGATTTCTTTACCATGAATGTTGTATATTAGCCTACATTAAAAACACAATGCAATACAGTACACCGATACTATATATATATATATATATATATATATATATTATATATATATATATATATATATATATATATATATATATATATATATATATATATATATATAAGCCCGAGGCATAGGGGAATGTAGGGGAATTTCATCGCTTGTGTAGGGCTGAGGAGTCTCGAGGGGTTGGCAACCCTGGTCAGCAGTCAGCACACTGTACAGTTGAGCAGAAGAGAGGAGAGCGCTCTTGAGAGGTGGTGTATGATCGTCACAGTCTTGTGTATTGTTCTTAAGGTTTGTCATCGATGACTGTCCGTTACACAAACAAGTATGAATTATGCGGAGCGCCACATTCCGTCCCGTGTCTGGGATACAGCACCATAGTGAACGTAAGCAATGGTAGTTTTCTCGTGTCCTTCTCAATTAGTGAATTTTGTGTTTAGATTTAGGCTGCTTAACTGGGGGACTACACAATCGACGCGTAAATTTTGTTTTTGTTTATTCTTGTTATATTTTCATCAGTGAGTTCTGATTTAATAATCATTTTTATGGGCTTCGTTTGTTAGATAATTAGGCGACTAGGCGCGCACTACTTTCGTCTGTCTCGGTGTGTGGCGCCACAGCCAATCGACTCTACGAGCGTGAACTTCACGCTAGTCGCCAGTGTACTAGTGTATCTTTATGAGCCACATAAGTGTGATGGCTATTCTCACGTACACAAAAATGTATAATACACCATATAATTGTAAATTCTTTGTTTAATATGCCGGGGAATCCGGAGGATTCATGAGCCTCACTGCTAAGAAGTTAGGTAAGGTTAGGTAGGTTTCTTTGGTTAGTTGGTGAGGTCTTACATTGCTTGTTTTTCTTAGCAACTAAGGTTAGATTATATTTAATTTAGAAATAAACACCCTTTAACACATTTTCCATAACTTCGGCAGTCTTCTATAAATTAGCGATATTGCTGCATTTTAAAATTCAGTTTTTTATGTAAAATCAGCGGCTGTAAAATCGAAAATATAATTCATAGTGAATATTTTGCCGTGACAGGCTAAGTTTTTACTAACACTATTTTACCATGAGTGCGCTCTGATTGGTTACCAGTTAAGTTCTTCCCGTTTAATATGACGGGAGGGGGTCCTCCTCCCCCGGCCAGGAAGTTTGGTTGATTAGGTCAGGTTCTAGTAAATGTCGCCTTTTTATAATGAGAACTTCTGTGGAAAAAATGAACAAAATTGAACAACTCATTCTGGTTAAGTATGTTCATAGCTACACAACGATAAACTCTCGGCGAAATAAATACCAAATACTGCCACTCGCAGTCACATATCGTTCTAGCGTTGTTAGCTGGTAAATTTTTTCAGTATACTGTACACATAACCAGCCATGATTTTTCTATATTTGGTGGATAGGAGTAGTGATTTGGTAATCATTGACGACTGACCCGCCGGCGATTTAGCATATTAAACGATTATGACGCTGCAATTTCAGTTTTTTAGAGAACTCGTAGTTTGTGCAAATGGGTTTTTATTTTATTTATTTTTTATAAGCCAATGCAACCAAACCCAACCTTAACATAAAACCAAGGATAAATTATAACCTGCCGTGGGCAGACTTACTGAGACAGGAGATTGTGCTGTGATCTTAGCGAATGTTGCCGCTTTTTATCCTTAAAAATACTTTCTTGTTACACTGGAACAAATTCCTCTTTGGTCTTTTTTGAAGGAAGTGATGCCATAGTCTTCAAAAAACTGGAGGGCGAGATCGTCGTTCCCCATGAATTTGCAAATTACGTCCCTATAAGACCGGCATCTCCCTTCACATGCCATTGTGAAAATGAATCTGGCGTGGAAAGCTAGGCGAGCGGCAAGGAGCTCAGCCGCAGTGGCTTGTGTTGAAATACATGTAGTACGTTCATATGATTGGCTGTTTACAAAAGGGGATGAGACGTCACCGCTGCATTACCGCCGAGAAGATAAAGTAAATATCTACTAAACGAAGCATTTGCACAAGAAATGATTATCTATCAATACTCACTGGTGAAAATAGAATTAGAAATGAACACCAAAACAAGTAACTCGTCAGCCAGTCAGTCGTCAATAGGGAAATAAAGGAAAAAGAGCTATAGTTTTCCATTGGATTTTTTATTTATTTTTTAGATTTTTTAACTTCCATTTCACTTGAAAGTAATTTTGATCACATAGTAGGCAGGGCTTTTAAGTAGAGGGGAATTGTGGGATAAAAACACAAAAACTGACATAGGTATAGTGCAGTACAGTATACTGTACCTACCTAACCTGGTAAATTAACTGGGGAAACTCGAAGGACAACCTGTCCATAAGAGACCTGCCTCTGGTCACCCCACTGTGTAAACCCAAGTTAATCCAAAAAGTTAAACGAAAAAAAAATAGGAAACCTAAAGAAACCAAGCCTGAAATAGAAGAGCAATAAACTGAGTAAGAAGTAGGCAACGTATATCCTCATGATATTGAAAAGTTAAAAATAACTCCAACTGTAACTTTCTAACGGAAACGCTTTCAGTAAAATATTTTTTCTGTCTCTCCATATAAAAATTTGGAGTCAAATAATGTAATAATGATTTTTCTTCAGATTGTTGGCCATGTACATGTAGTAACAAATTATGAAACAAATTACGTAACGAATTACTGTAACAAATTAAATGTGTTCGTTTGTTCCTTTTTAATCTTTATTTACTTATATTTATATTCCTTATTCTTACTTTTTCACTTACTCTTACTCTTTCTTTTACATATTCCTGCTATTATTTCTCTTGAGAGGTGGAGAGGGTGAGGGAGGTAATTGTTTATGGTTTGAGGAGAGGGTGTGAAGGGAGAGGGAGGAGAGAGTGAGTGGGAGAGGGAATTAAGATAAAATATTTTAGAGGGGAAATATGAAATACTTATTATTTAGAATTTACTGTATCACTATCACTGCATAATACCATAGACATGCATGACAATGGTGTAGTCAACACGGAATTAAGAAACACCTCTAATGGTTCCTCATTTATTTATGACGAAATTCAAATTGAACAGTTACACTTCAAACAATAACCTATCTTCCAGCTAGTTGACCAGGGTCATCTGACTCACACTACATTTCGGGAAACGAATAAAACCTAATATGTACTTACATTATAACAGCCATATGAGAGGGTGACATCCATGACACGACCACAGTTAACTCTGACCAAACACACTCACCTTTTCAAACTGCCTCAACCTACAAAGAGACGCCACAACTTTCATGACGTCACGCCTCATAGGCTTCCTCGTTGGTCCCGGCAGGCCTAAGGCCTTAATTGGCGGGAACACACTGAGCCGGACGGGAAACTCATGGCACAGTTACAACGTAAATTATACTCAGAAATGGTTAGGTGGTGAGTGACATGAGACCGAAGGTGGCAGCGTGTGCAGGTCTCATCTCTCATATCTCAGTCTTCACACTTTATTTGAATGACAAAGGTGTCAAATTTGTACGCAGTTAATCGTCACGGTTGTGATTCCCAGCAGAAGTGAAGGATTGTGTGCATTACTTGACACAAGTTGAGTAATAATGAGTAGCCTCTGTTGTGCACTTATGGTAGTAGATCGATCCTCGAGGGGACTGTCCTGCCAGGGAGTGGAGTGTTGTCCTGCCAGGGAGTGGACTGTCGTCCTGCCAGGGGGTGGACTGTCGTCCTGCCAGGGAGTGGACTGTCGTCCTGCCAGGGGGTGGACTGTCGTCCTGCCAGGGGGTGGACTGTCGTCCTGCCAGGGAGTGGAGTGTTGTCCTGCCAGGGGGTGGACTGTTGTCCTGCCAGGGGTGGGACCATCTCGTCCTGCCAGGGTGGACTGTCGTCCTGCCAGGGGTGGACTGTCGTCCTGCCAGGGATGACTGTCGTCCTGCCAGGGGGTGGACTGTCGTCCTGCCAGGGTGACTGTCGTCCTGCCAGGGAGTGGAGGTTTGTCCTGCCAGGGTGGACTGTTGTCCTGCCAGGGGTGGACTGTTGTCCTGCCAGGGGTGGATCTGTTGGACTGTCCCTGCCTAGGGGTGGACTGTCGTCCTGCCAGGGGTGACTGTCGTCCTGCCAGGGGTGGACGTCCTGCCAGGGGGACTGTCGAGTGTCGTCCTGCCAGGGGTGGACTGTCGTCCTGCCAGGGGTGGACTGTCGTCTGCCAGGGGTGGACTGTCGTCCTGCCAGGGGTGGACTGTCGTCCCTGCCAGGGTGGACTGTCGTCGTACTGCCAGGGGATGGGGTGTCGTCCTGCCAGGGGTGGACTGTCGTCCTGCCAGGGTGACTGTCGTCCTGCCAGGGGGTGGAGTGTCGGTCGTCCTGCCAGGGGTGAGTGTTGGTCGTCCTGCCAGGGGGTGGAGTGTCGGTCGTCCTGCCAGGGGTGGACTGTTGTCCTGCCAGGGGATGGACTGTCGTCCTGCCAGGGGTGGACTGTCGTCCTGCCAGGGGGTGGACTGTCGTCCTGCCAGGGTGGACTGGTCCTGCCAGGGTGGACTGTCCTCCTGCCAGGGGTGGACTGTTCTCCGCCAGAAGTCCAGTGCGTCCTGCCAGGGGTGGAGTGTCGTCCGCCAGGGGCCAGGGGTGGGCCGTCCTGCCAGGGGTGTCCCGCCAGGGTGGAGTCCTGCCAGGGGGGGAGGTCAGTGTCCTGCCAGGGGTGGACTGTCCTGCCAGGGTGGAGTGTCGTCCCGCCAGGGGGTGGAGTGTCGTCCTGCCAGGGGTGGAGTGCGTCCTGCCAGGGGTGAGGTCGTCCTGCCAGGGGGTGGTGTCGTCCTGCCAGGGGTGGGAGGTCGTCCTGCCAGGGGTGAGTGTCGTCCAGGGGTGTGTCGTCCTGCCAGGGGGGTGGAGTGCGTCCTGCCAGGGGGTGGAGTGTCGTGCAGGGGGGGGTCGTCCTGCCAGGGGGTGGAGTGTCGTCCTGCCAGGGTGGAGTGTCGTCCTGCCAGGGGTGGGTGTCGAGGTCGTCCTGCCAGGGGGTGGACTGTCGTCCTGCCAGGGGTGGACTGTCGTCCTGCCAGGGGTGGAGGTCGTCCTGCCAGGGGTGGAGTGTCGTCCTGCCAGGGGTGTGTCGTCCTGCCAGGGGTGGAGTGTCGTCCTGCCAGGGGTGGAGGTCGTCTGCCACTGTCCTCCTGCCAGGGTGGGACCAGTCCTGCCAGGGGGTGGAGTGTCGTCCTGCCAGGGGGTGGGTCGTCCTGCCAGGGGTGGAGGTCGTCCTGCCAGGGGTGGAGGTCGTCCTGCCAGGGGTGGAGGTCGTCCTGCCAGGGGTGGAGTGTCGTCCTGCCAGGGGGTGGAGTGTCGTCCTGCCAGGGGGTGGAGGTGTCGTGCCTGCCAGGGGTGGAGTGTCGTCCTGCCAGGGGTGGAGGCTGTCCTGCCAGGGGTGGTGTCGTCCTGCCAGGGGGTGGAGTGTCGTCCTGCCAGGGGTGGGGTGTCGTCCTGCCAGGGGTGGACTGTCCTCCTGCCAGGTGGACTGTTCTGCCAGGGTGGAGGCCGCCCTCGCCAGGGGGTGGAGTGTCGTCCTGCCAGGGGGTGGCGTCGTCCTGCCAGGGGTGGAGTGTCGTCCTGCCAGGGGTGGAGGTCGTCCTGCCAGGGGTGGAGTGTCGTCCTGCCAGGGGTGGAGTGTCGTCCTGCCAGGGGTGGACTGTCGTCCTGCCAGGGGTGGAGGTCGTCCTGCCAGGGGTGGAGTGTCGTCCTGCCAGGGGTGGAGTGTCGTCCCTGCCCGTCGTCCTGCCAGGGGTGGAGTGTCGTCCTGCCAGGGGTGGAGTGTCGTTCCTGCCAGGGGGTGGAGTGTCGTCCTGCCAGGGGGTGGAGTGTCGTCCTGCCAGGGGGTGGAGTGTCGTCCTGCCAGGGGGTGGACTGTTGTACATACCGTTTTTATGCTAACATATACTGTACAGTACAGAACTGTATATGTTTACTTGCCTGTAATTCTCATACCATTAACATAAATGCAGTAATTTATATTCTATTGATTTTCATTTGGAATATTTTGTATTATATGGTTTGTTGCTGTAGTAATAATAAGGTGTGTTATTTATTATACACAGGACCCAGACAAGATGAGGCGTTACATGACACGGGCCATCAACAGGAATGTGACTCTTCTGGACACCTCATACTCAGACATGTGCGAGAAGGAAATAGGCGCGGTGCTCAATGGCTGTTGGGCCAGAGGTCACGATAGGAACAGATACTTCATCATGACCAAGGTACTGTATAGAGAATTATGCAATTGCCACTCAATATGTCATAAACAATGCCAATGCAATCGTAACACCACATGCTCACCCCATTTGATTAGTTGGCATGTATAGGAAGGTGGCCACGACCCGCAAATTATCTCTAGGCCTGCTAGTGTCTTCTCTGTCATGGCTGAGAGCAGACGTGCACTCACATTTGATTACCTGAGTACCACTAATCCCCTAACATGCTTCAGGTAATCCTTAGTTTTTACTTGTACTCTCTTTGTATCCTCTTTGCCACTGATCGGCTCGTTAGCCGCAGGGGAAGTTGGTCACATTGTAGTGGATACTCTCCCCTACAACTGACAAGCCTAGCTGAATACCATAGCGATGGAGTTCAGCCAACCGGCGAGGTTCTCACGGGGGTGGGGGGAAGGGTCGCCACCTGCGACGCTTGCATTCGGTCTTACTTCCGGTGGCCGAGTATATAAGCTCTCAATCTCGCCATTAAAGTCCATTCTACTCTACGTTCCTGAACCGGCAAGACCTCCAAACAAGCTTCCTCACCAACCAGCAACTCCCTAGCACTGCACTGTACATACAATATATATACAGAAAACGCATTGTGAGTTTCTAATCTACCTCAATCCTGAGTGTGAGATATCTACATGTACGTACGTATGTGAGCCCATACAAAGAGAATTTGACAACTGGCCACATGCAGTACGCTACAACATCTCTGTTATGCACTGTTGGCAAGTACTGGGCATTTACTGGCTCCAGGATTTATCTGAACCTGCTCCAATGTTGGTCAAATCTGGTTTTGAAAGAGTTCACACTCGGTGCCGTCACAATACTCTTTGGCAGATTGTTCCAAGAGTTTATAATTCTCACTCTAAAAAAGTTTCCCCTCAAAATTTTCTGGACTTGTGGCTTCTTCAACCTGGAGCTGTGTCAGTTCATAACCTTTTTGTGTATAAACACCTGTGACAGCTATTGTAAATCTATTTATCTGAAAATTAACAGAAAAATGAGTGCCATGTATATTTGTGTGCAACAAATAGTGGCCAGATACTGTTATTTATTAAAAAAAAAATTATCGTGTGACAACTTTGGAAGGTCAAACTATTTTTTTATTCCCAACTTTTCCTTCACACTGGGCTACAGCTATCTACTTGGAATTTGTATTGAAAGGGTTAAGTCATAAGCGTTTCCTTACAAGAAGATATTACCATAAAAACCTGTAGACTTAGGTATAACTTGTTTATAAATGTAATGTTACAGTCTCGACAGAGGTTGGCCACAGTTCATGATCAAGGGGTAATAAATGTCGATTAAGTCATTCCCAAACATGGAACAACAGTATCCCCCCACTGTCCCTGCAGGATATAATGAGGGAAAGCTCATATGAAGATAAAGTAAGAATTCATAGTAGTGTAGTAGTGAGGAAAGTTGGTAGCATGACTAGAGGGTGTAAAGATATATTAACACAGGCTCAGTATAAGTGTAGTATATAAAACACCAATGCGATTTACAGATTTATTTTACTAGTTCAACAGGGGGGTTAATGGGGGCTCATACACAATATATTGTTAATGGGCACTTCCACTGCAAGGGCGGTGTAACAAGCTGCCACCAATGTAAGAGCGGCGATTCCAACTCACATTTCCTACCCTTATCTTACTTACCTACGTTCACTGGTTACCACATAACCTCAGTTCCCTTTGGTAGCATGGCGAGGGCCGGCACGTGGGTATAGTAATTTTGATATCAAGTCACTTGGACGGAAATAAAGGTGAAAAACTGTGGGGAAAAAGTGAACACTCCTAAAATACTCAAAGAACAGGTTTATTAATATGAAACACAAGGGGAAAAAGATATTATTAACATACCACTCCAAGGTTGCAACTCCTCGGCTTACTCAACTGCAATTACTCAGATCCTATACTCTAACTACACACTTTTTTTTTTCTTTTATCCTCTTCGCCACTGATCGGCTCGTTAGCCGCTTGGGCGATCGGTCACGTCTCTGTCACGCACTGTTGGCAAATACTGGGCATGCACCGGCTCCCGAATGTACCTGAACCTGCTCCAGTGTTGGTCAAGTCTTGTCTTGAAAGAGCTCACACTCGGTGCCGTCACAACACTCTCTGGTAGATTGTCCCAAGAGTTTACAACCCTCACTCCGAAAAAGTTTGCCCTCACAGTTTTCTGTACTTGCGGCTTCTTCAATCTTGAGCTGTGACCCCTTGTGGGGCAAGCGTCCGCCAGCTCCAAGTAAGGACACTCGACTGAGTAGTGCCCCCTGAGATGCTTATACACCTCAACTAGGTCACCCCTTGCCCGTCTATAATATAAGCTAGGTAAGTTCAGGCGCTCCAATCTCTCAGGGTAGCTGAGGTGCCGAAGTGCAGGCACCAGTCTAGTGGCCCTCATTTGAACATTTTCAACCAACTGACAGTCCCTAGCATATCTCGGGGACCAGACGGGGGTGACAGTACTCCAGATGGGGAAGCACTTCACTCTTGAAGATCGTTACGAGGGACGGACCGTCTAGATATCTGAACTACCTTCTCATAAGACCCAATAATTTATTTGCCTGGTTTACCTTCTTCTCGCAATGGCCCGAGAACTTCAGCTCATTTTCAACATACACACCTAGGGCCTTCTCACATTCAGTCTCAACTAGTTCAGTTTCTTCATCCCGTTGGGACATAAGATACGCCTCCTTACCGTTGGTACGCCCCAGGTGCATCCTCTTACACTTCGTGGCATTGAATCTCAGCAGCCATTCCTTCGACCATTCCTGGAGCCCACAGAGGCCCTTCTGCAGCTCTTCACAGTCAGCTTGGTTCTTAATTTCCCGAAATAACTTAGCGTCATCGGCAGATATTTGTATGGAGGAGTGTACATCGTCAGGCATGTCATTTATGAAACAAACAAACAGCGGGCCCAATACACTGCCCTGTGGTACCCCACTTGTGATAGGTACGGATGACGATTTCGTGCCATTAATCACCACACACTGCTTGCGGTCATGTAGAAAGTCTTCTATCCATGCAAGGACATTTCCCCGAATTCCGTACCCCTCCAGTTTGATTTTCAGCCTTTCATGGGGTACACTGTAAAAAGCCTTGGCAAAATCTAGGTAAATATTGTCGATATTACCACCCTGTTCCAGAATATGGGTCCAAATATCCAATACCTTGAGCAATTGTGTTAAGCAGGAGCGCCCCGGCATAAAACCGTGTTGGCAATCCTTCACAAGATTGTTTCGTATTGAATGTTCCATTGCGGCATCTCTGATAATACTCTCAAGTACCTTACATATTATGCTGGTCAGGCTCACTGGTCTATAGTTGTTCGTGGAGTGCCGATCGCCCTTCTTGAAGATAGGACTCACATAAGCCACTTTTATTCACTGGGAACCATTTGTTCATCCAGGCATTTACAAAACAAGATCTTCAGGGGCTCTGCAAGCTCGTTGCACAACTCTCTTAACACTCTAGGATGCACCATGTCAAGGCCGGGACTCTTATGGACCTTTAGCCTGGACAGTTTATTTCTAATACCCTCTTCTGTGAACACAATGTGGGTCAGTGCTGTATCGAACCATCTGTCCTCAAACGCAGGAAGGTTAGTTGCATCCTCTCTTGTGAACATCGAGGAAAAGAAGCTGTTCAATGCCTCAGCTTTATCCTGGTCAGAATCTGCGTAACTACCATCCACAAGCCTCAGGTCTGATACTCTACTCGCGTTTTCAATTTCGACTTTGCATAGCGGTAAAACGCCTTTGGGTTTGACTTGACCTCCCTTGCAACCAGCCTCTGGAACTCCTTTTCAGCCCTCCTACACTCTATCTTTGCTTGGTTTCTGACTCTTGCATATATCCTCCTGTCCTGCTCATCGTTTGACCCAACCCAAGTCTTGAATTTCTGGGTTTTCTTCTTAATTTTGTCGACCGCTGCATGGTTCATGTGTAGGGATCCCCTCGTATTCCTAGAAGCACTGGGTTTGGTCTCGGGTATATATTTATCGATCAAATGGGTCACTTTACTAGTTATGATATTCAACGTAGTGTCCGCGTTCTTGTACCTTAATGAGTCAGGCCAGTTGATACCACTCATCTCTTCCCTCATCCCATTGTAATTTCCCTTGTAATATTTGCACCTTGGCCTGGCCTTATCTTGAAGTAGGTAACAGTTAAATCTGAATGATAACACTATATGGTGACTGGTGCTAACTGGGGCAAAGTGTTCCAGTTTGGCCACCATACCCTCCTCGTCTGTTATGATGAGGTCAAGTGGCTTGGGTGTTTGATCCCCTCTGTAATGTGTCGGGTCTCTCACATGTTGGAACAGAAAATTATCTCTGAGTTTCTACAAAAAGAGTAGCAGGGTTATTCAAGTCATTTGGGGTGGACAAGTTTCTCCAGTCGATGTCCCCATAGTTAAAGTCCCCCATGATAAGGAGGTGGCTAGGGTTGAGCATCGCTGCGTTGTTTATTAAGGTTCTCAAGTTCCTTTGATTTAGTGGGTCACAGTTTGGGGATCTGTAGATACATCCGACGATAAGTAAGTCCCCTCCTTTTAATTTAATTTTACACCACTTAGACTCTTCAAAAACATCCTCTCCCTGTACCCTCGCCTGGCTGGCTCTAAGCCCTAAGGTCTTCCCTAGCATAGATAACCACACCCCTCTTGCACACAACCTTACTGGTGTTACATTACAGTACATAGTTACATGACAAATCCTGGCTTCTCTCAACTGCCAATCCCAGTTGGTACTTACTTCTCCCACGTTACTGGTGATACATTTCATTGCATACATGACCAACTGACATATGGTCCCTTCGTTACTCAACATGTTATTACTGAAACCAACTCATACATGTGTATACCGTAGTACGGTATACACATTACAAATATTTATCGGTACTGGGCCGATTCACTAGGAACTGTCCAGTGCACCAGATCACCTGACTTTTCAGAGGTATGGTCTTTGCCAAACACTACCACAACTAACTATCACTGTATTGGACCTAATGTCCATACAGTGTGATTTCATGTTTATTTATTTATTTCATATTTATTATATTGTCTAATGCATCATAATGTTATTATACATGTGCATATCGCTATTTATATGTACAGTATTTTGCACATTTCTGGGAGTGGCCTGAAAAACTAAAGGATTTTGCTTTCTCACGGGGTCCATTTTACCTAACCCTAGCAAGCTTTAAGGGAATACTGTACTATAAATGTTCTGTCTACCAAATCTCAGTCAGTCCAGGTTCTCATACTGCAGGTTTTATGTATCACCATGGATCCAGCTTTTAAACTCATTGACCCAACATGGTACATTGGTAATTCTCATATCTCTCACTACTAGGATACGGGTTTGAGTCCTGGCCCAGGGCACACGTGAGAAGGGTGTTATCCAGTGTGAAACTACTAAACATCACAGGCTGCATGAAATAGAGTACAATTATATACATATTATAGGAGCTATCAACAAGTACCTGTTCTTTAAACCACTAATGAGATTATAATTTTTCAGTTTATAAACAATTGTAGAATATGATGTTTAACCTTTCCCTCTGACCATGTGACCATAATTGACACTGGAGTATTTTTTCAGTTGCCTATGATAGGGAACCGGAAATGTGATGTTGAGAAGTTCATGAAGAAGTCATTGAAAAACCTGGGCTTGGAATATGTGGACGCCTACTTCATCGAGAGTCCTGTGGGTCTGAGAGGTTAGTGTGGAATAGTGGCGAATGTAAATAAGGTCGCTGTTAAAAGTCACAATTTTGGCTTAGAAAAGATCTTTTGTATACATGTTACAGTGAATATGTTTAACCAGTGATTTCACGTAAGCCTAAAATTCCTAGGGATTTCAGGAAATCCTGGCCCTTCAAAGTAGGGATTTTCTGAAACTCCCTCGGGAATACGTGAAAAAACTGGTTACACAACTTCCCTGTAATATATACACCTGTATATACACATATCACACATAAGTATACTGTATATCATTAAGCCCTTGGCACTCCTGACCATGGTCAGAAATCTCACCCTCTTAATCTTTCAACACAGGTTGCGTCGGTAACAGGAACTTTTACTTTACTTTTATCCTCTTCGAAACTGATGGGCTCGTTAGCCTCTCGGGCAGTTGGTCACGTCTCTGTTACACACTGTACTGGGAAGGCAATGGCTCCTGAATGTATCTGAACCAACAAAGTTAGCTCTCATAGTTTTCTGGACTTTCAGCTTCTTCAACCTTGAGCTGTGACCCCTTATGGGCGGGTGTTTGCCAGCTCCAGGTATGGACACTTGCTTGAATAATGCTCTTTGAGATGTTTATACACCTCAATTAGGTCACCCCTTGCCCATCTGTAGTATAAGCTAGACAGTTGCAGGTGCTGTAATTTCCTGGATAGCTGAGGTGCCAAAGTGCCATCAGTCTGGTGGGCCTCCTATGGATATGGCGAACATGAACTTTTTATCAGAGTACCACATAGGAGGGTACAACCTTTTTCACACGGACAGGGAAGGTAGGATGGGAGGAGGGGTCGCACTCTTCGTCAGGGATACATTAAAATGTTGTATTAATAATTCAATAGAGGGTGAAATTGAAACCGAGTCTATATGGGTAGAAATTGCGGAAAGAAGAGAAAAACTAATTATGGGAGTGATTTACAGGCCCCCAAGTCTTGGGAAAGAAGCAGCTCAGCCCATATGGCAGGAAATGAGTAGGGCAGCAAAATATAACAACCTGTGCATTATGGGGGATTTCAACTTCAGGAATATTAACTGGGACAACATTGTAGGTGACTATGAATCTAAAGACTTCCTAGATGCAGTACAGGACAATTTTTTAAAACAACTAATTACAGAATCTACTAGAGGTGACAATATATTAGACCTAGTATTAACAAAAAAAGAAAGTATCAAAGATATCACAATAGGGTAAGAACTAGGGAACAGTAATCACAGAGAAATCAGGTTCATCCTAAATTGGGAAACGAAAAACAATGACAATATGGTCAGAGTCCCAAACTTTCGATCGGCGGATTATGAGGGGTTAAGAAGGGACCTGGGTGAGGTCACCTGTGAACAGTCAGGTCAGTCCCCGGTAGGATCGGGTGAGGTCACCTGTGAACAGTCAGGTCAGTCCCCAGTAGGATCGGGTGAGGTCACCTGTGAACAGTCAGGTCAGTCCCCAGTAGGAACGGGTGAGGTCACCGGCGACACAACAATTGATCATGACTATAATATATTCGCTAGTATACTACGTAAAGCACAAGAACAAAATATACCATACAGAAAAATTAGGTCAAGTAAGAATGAGCCAAGGTGGATGACCAGAAACACTTAAACATGACATTGGAATAAAGAAAGGAATTTACAGGAAATTAAAGGGAGGGGAGGAGCAACTCAGAAATATTTATAATGAACTATCTAGGAATGTTAAGAAAAAATGTAAGGAAGGCATAGAGGGACTATGAAATCAGGATAGCAAGAGAATCCAAGGCGAATCCCAAGGGATATTTCCAGGTATATAGGACAAAGGTCAAGGTCACAGTGGGACCTTTAAAGTCAGAGAGAGGGGAAGTGATCTATGATAGTGAGAAAATAAGCAAAACATTAAACAGCTACTTCTTATCAGTTTTCACAGAAGAAATTCACGAGGAAATTCAGAAGTGGAACTGATATTTAGGGGAAATGAAGAAGAGATATTAAAAAATATCACGATCAGAAAAGAGGATGTTCTTAAGAAGATAAATAAATTAAAGAAGGCAAAATCCTTAGGGCCAGATGAAATTTTCCCTCGAGTTTTGAAAGAGTGTAAGGAACAGATTAGCGGACCCCTCGTAAATTTATTTACAAAATCATTAGACACCGGAGTTGTGCCAGACTTGTGGAAACAGGCAAATGTAACACCCATATTAAAAAAGGGAGACAGAGCATCAGCGTCAAATTACTGGCCGATTAGTTTGACGTCAGTAGTGGGGAAATTTCTTGAATCAATTACAGTACAGTACTGTATAGCAAATCGCATCCGATCGCATTTAGAGAAAAACAAATTAATCTACGACCCTCAACATGGGCTTACAAAGGGAAAATCTTGTCTAACAAATCTGCTGACGTTTTTTAGGAAAGTCTTCGAGGTAGTAGATAATGACGAAAATTACGATGTTGTTTACTTAGACTTTAGCAAAGCGTTTGACAGAGTACCGCATCAGAGACTTCCGAGAAAAGTTAAGGCTCATGGTATTGAAGGGAAAGTTTTAAATTGGATAAAATCATGGCTCGCCGATAGAACACAGAGGGTCAGCGTAGATAGTGTTAAATCTGAGTGGGGTTATGTAACCAGTGTGGTTCCCCAGGGGTCAGTACTGGGCTCACTCTTGTTCATAATCTACATAAACGATCTAGATACTGGGATCAGCAGTGACATAAGCAAGTTTGCAGATGACACCAAAAGAAAAAAGGCGGCAGATTAATTCAGGGCAGGATGCAAATGCACTACAGGAGGATTTAAATAAACTGCAGGATTGGTCAGAAAAATGGCAAATGAAATTCAACACCAGCAAGTGCAGCGTACTTAATATTGGAAGAACAAATACTGTCAATGTATACAGCCTTAACAACATCAACCTAGAGAAATCGACTTGTGAAAGAGACTTAGGGGTACTTGTAAGCCCGGACCTACAGCCTAGAAAACAGTGTGTTACTGTTCGAAATAAGGCTAACAGAGTATTAGGTTTTTTATCTAGAATTGTAAGTAATAAGAGTCCAGAGGTCTTATTGCAACTATATCTTGTGCTAGTCTGGCCACACCTCGATTATGCTGTTCAGTTCTGGTGCCCTTATTATAGAATGGATATCAATTCACTGGAATCGGTGCAGCGAAGAACGACGAAAATGATTCCGGGACTTAGAAACCTTCCATATCAAGATAGGTTAAAGAAACTGAACTTGCATTCCCTAGAAAGACGAAGAGTGCGGGGAGATATGATAGAAATATTTAAGTGGGGAAAGGAATCAATAAAGAAGATATAAATACTGTAAAGGAGTTGTCCATGGTTTGAAGATGGACCAAGATCTCTTCTGATCTTCGTAGAGCCCTCACCACCTTGGTGATGCTTTAGTACTTCATGCTTTGTCTCAAGAGTCACAGACTCACACAGCTTCTCCAGTGTAGTACAAGTAGCTGAAGAATTAACAGAACATTTGGATGCCATGGTGAACAAAATAATGAAAGGATGGCACAAATATAGACGGATAAAAAACGTGAACTTCCCACATGATGAATGGTGGAACAAAAGATGTGGACTGGGAAGAGACGGGGAAGGAGAGGGGTTTCTTGTGATCAGTGATCGAGAATATATATTTGTGCATGTCTCCAAGATGGCTGCCCAAGTTTACTCCTGGGTGGTGCACGATTTTAATTTTTGCTGGGACCAAAATTCTAATAATTGAGGGTAGCTTTCCTATAATAAGGAAGAGGTGATCAATTACAAAATTCGTGGAAGCAAATTTTCTTTGCTCGAATGTTTGTATAGCAAGGGATACCTGTACCTGAAGAGGTAAATACCTGAATAACAATCCCACCAGCAACTTGCTGAATAACCATCTAAGCAGGTGACTAGCTAACTAACAAAGGAGGAAGTCATCCACCCAACTCATTCGGTATATAGTACATGTATCTAATATAACAAATAAAAGGTTGATAGCAAACTAGATCCCAAAGCAATGGCTTAGGCCTGAAGACCAAGCAGTATGTCCTAAAATACGACACCATGTAATTATTTCTCGTTAAATCTTTCCAGGATGGAGCAGCGGGAACCTACTTTTGTGAAGCTTGTAGTGTACAGTAGTGTATGTGGCCAGTTGTCTAATTTCTCTTTGTTAGGCTCACATACATACGTACATGCAGGAGATCTCGCATGAAGGATGGAGGTGAGAAAGGAAATCCATAATGGAGTTTTCTTTATATATATTATATGTACAGAGCAGTCTGGTGCTGGGAAGTTGCTGTGTGGTAGAGGAGTTGCTGTGGAGGAGCTTCCTTAGAGGAGGTCTTCTCTGCTTAAGAACGTGGTGTTGTCCTACCTTCTTGGCTTTGGAGTCAAGAGTTATGAGGTGAAAGAAGATTATTAAGGATTGAATAAAAGTGGTGAAACTGAAATACAGTAGGAGTAGAAAGAATCTTGTCCGACCTTCGATCGATGGGTGAAGTAAAGTATGAAGAAATCTTGATGCTGGTGCATAGATTGGTGGTGCGGGAACTAGACTTGAAGAATAATGGTGGAATTTGGAGGGACTTGGGGTTGGTGGATAGTGCAAGAAGAAAAGCGAGGAAATTGGAAAATAATAGTAGAATGCTAGGTCTTGGGGCTCAAGCCAAGTGCTTATGTTTTCTCATGTTTGTGTTTCAGCTAATTTTCGTCTTAGGTATTATATTTATGTCAGGTGTTTGTATGTTTAGCAAATATTGCAATTTTATGCCTTACATTTTCGGGTCTTATGTCCTAGGCAATGGTGGGGAGTCTAGGGCAGGTACTTGTGTTTCTGCTAAGAACATCCCGTCTTTTTATGATCTAATGTTGTAAGTGGTAGGGCTGCCAAGGTTGTCACTGGGGTAACGTTGCATCTTTCAATAGAGTGGAGTTGGTGTGGGTTCTAGGGCTCTTCCAACCATTCTATGATTGGTCCTGGCTCTATTTCTTCTAACTTTGTCCATATTCTTTTT